AAGTCCTTTAACTTCTGTTCACCTCCATATCCTTGTTTCTGAAATTTGCAAATGGGGAAAAGGATTTGTTTCCCCTAGGAACAATGTCAGTAAAGCATTTAATATAGCACCTGACATACAGTGCTCAATATACACTAGGTATGCTGGTAACAGTTGGGTCGTATATGCCATTGCAGTTGAAATTATTAATAAAATGCCTTTTTTTTACCACTTATGCGAAAAGGCAGGAAATAATATATTAAGCCTTAACATGTTTAATTTGCATTAGTTCTTAGCATCATCCCAACATATTTCTGCCTCTCTTGATAAACTTTTTTCTTTTTTACTTTCCTTGAAAGTCATAGTTAGAGAGAGAGAAGAGAAAGAGAGACAGATATTCTCCATCCACTGATTAACTTCCCAAATGGCCTCAATGACTAGAGCTGAGCTGGTCCAAAGCCAGGGGCTAGAAGCTTTGTCCAAGTGTCCCACATGGATGTAGGGGCCCAAGGCCTTGGATCATTCTCTGCTGCCTTCCCAGGTCACCAGCAAGAGGCAGATCAGAAATGAAGCATCTGGGACTCAAACAAGCACCCACATGGGATGCTGGTGCTGCAAGTCAGAGAATTAGCTTACTACCCTGATGATAAGCTTTAAACTAAGAACACACGGAGTTGTTCACAAGTGGACAAGTGATATTTAAAGAAGACATTTTTTATTTAAATTATTTTATTTTGGTAATCTTTACATAGTTGATTAGGGCACAAGGTGTTGATTAGGGCACAGGAAAGTGGGTAAGACCATTGTTTCCATATTATTATTATTATTTTCTGTATCTGGGGTAAGGGAAAAGATAAAGGGAAAAGTCTCACCCAACCTCACACCCTTCCCAGGTCCCTGATGTGGGGCGTGCTCTGAAGGTCCTGCTTAAGCAATTTTGATAGTCCAACAGTTCTGAATTGCTGCTGATCCCGCCGTTCCATCGTGGTGAAATCTCTTCAGAATCCACTGGCTGACATAGTTTCTTCATGGTTGGGGTTCTGAGATCAGCAGTTCGGTTGGAGAGGTCCTCAGGGAAACTTTGTCTGAGGTGATCCCAGACCTGATACTTGTGTGTACTTGCCAGTACACGGTCTGGCACAGTCTGTCGCCTTAATCATTTTATGCCTATGCTGGTGATTGCAGTTGCTGGGTCAGTTCAGTTTCCAGCCCTGTCATCCACTTGAACCGATGGGTGCTGCAGTCCAGCCCAATCCTGCTCACTTCATACTGGTTCCTCACACAAACCAGTGGGAGCTGCAGCTTAGTTGGGGAGACTCCCCATAACCCCCACCAGGCCTGTCCCCTACCCTGGGTTCCCATGTTTGCCACTATGTACCACAGACTTGTTCAGTTTGTCCCACATCCCATTTAGCTCTCATACATGTCAATGGGCGTTGAAGCCTAGTGCAACCCAACCTGCCCTATGATCCAGCCCACACACATACTGGCGGGTGCTGTTCTGTCTAGCCACCCCTGCCCCACTCCTAGTTTTCACACTCTCCAGTGTGAGTTGTAATCCAAGAGGGAGGTGCCCACTATTTCCCTCATAGGTCACTCCCACTCCCAGAATATGTACTCTCCAGGTGGTTCTGTGGTTTATCTTGACAGAATTAGCCCCCAGTGCCAGCCTCTGCCAGCTAATGCTGCAGCAAAGCCCAACCAACCCTCACCTACTCTAATTTATGCTTGCACCGAAAGGAACAATCAGCCCAGCCTGATTTTTTTCCTGATCTAGCTCATTGGAGGCCCATAGGTGTTGTAGCCCTGCCTGGTCTGATCTGCCCCCATCCCAGCCCATGCTCTCCAGTGGCAGTGGCTGTCTAGCAGGGGAGCCCTCCACATTCCCCCTGTCAGCTTAGCTGCCTCCCTCCCGGTTCTCACGTGTGCTGGTTGGGCGCTGCGGCCCAGTCTGGTACGGTACATCTCACCTTGGCATTTGCCAGTAGACATTGTAGTCTGACCCAGCCCGGCCCACCCACAATTCCAGCTGACACTGGTGAGGGTTATAGCCTAGCCCAGCCCAGCAGGTATCCAATCCCAGCCATAATGTGCACTGGTATGTGTTGCAACCATACCTGGCCCGACCCACACTCTGTTCTGGTGCTCGGATTCGCCAGTGGGGTGACATGAACTGGTTCAGCCTGTTCTGCCCCCGAACTATGCCAAATGTATACTGGTGGGTACCTTTCCCTGGCCTGGTCTGGGCTGCTCCCTGTCGTGGTTCTTGCCCTCACCTGCAGGCTCTGTGTCCTGCCAGAGGAGTTGCCAAGGCTCCTCCATCAGAACCTCTCCCATTGCCAGATCTTGCGCATACTGGTGGGTCCATGAGCCAGCTCTATGTAGTCCATTTCCTGTACTAGCAGGAACAGTGAGTGGCCTTACCTTGTTGGAGTTCAACCCAATCTGGTTCTTACTGTTGGATATTTCAGCCCAGCCAAGGCTTGTCCATATCCAGACATCACTCACATATGGCTCAGTAGAAGCAGAGACCTAACCTAGTCCATCCTACGCCACCCTGGTCCTCCAGAGCACCAGATGGTGCTGGAGTCTAGCCCAGCCTGCTGCATTCAGTCCCAGTTCACACTTGTGCCAAAGGAGACTTCAGCCATGTCCAGACCAGAATGCAATCTCTGCACTCACCAGTGGGAACCCCAACCCTGGTAGGGTGTCTTCTTAGCTCCCTAGCATAGATCACGCACATGCCAGTGGTTGTAAACAAGTCATTTTCTAACTACAACCACCCAATCCCATTCCTTGCCTCATTTTCCTCTTTGTATGACACAGTCCCCAATATTCATCTTAATTCCTGACTTCTACCCAAACCCATTGACATACTTCTGTACTTCCTAGCTCAAGCCCAGTCACCAAGTCTGATGATGCCAACGCAGGCAGGGGTTCTGGGAAACTGATTCTAGAGGAATGGATAAGTGGCTAGATCAAGAACAACCCAAGAGAAGGGCCCCTTCACCTTGACCTGTGATATAGGCAGAAGCCACAAGGAGTCCATGTTGAATCAGAAAGGCTGAACTGAAGGGCTATAGGCAGGCGAGCAACACTACTTGATTTCTAGTTTTAACAGATTTTACCTTGGAATGGGAGGCAAAGAAGACAGACAATTTCTCAACAAGCCAATGCAATATCTCAAATGAGGTAAATCACAGTGACAGCTTTGGAAAGAGAAAGAAATGGACCAGGATGTATATTCTGGAAGAAAAGCAGGTGTGATTTTCTAGCCAAGGGGTGGGGAGACAATGATGAATAATTGTTAGATTTAGGCTTGCACACAAAGATGTCTATCACAGTATTATTTGTAACATCAAATAAATGGAAAAACTCAATATCTCTTCATGAGCAATCGAATACTTTGAAACAAACACTATACAGCAAATACAAGTCTTTACTAAGGCTTCTTGATAGAGAAGGGACATATTTATATTATGGTCAAAGGCTTTAAAAAACACCAGAAATTTGTTATGTAGTGTGATAATAACTCTATTAAAACACACTAGAGGATGGGCACAAATATATGAAAAGTTAACCATAGTTTTTTTTACTAGTCTTTTCCATATTTACATTTCCCATTCTATTAATCAGCTTGGATTAGGCTAATACTGAGGTAGGTAACAACCTGAACAAACTCAACACTTTAATATATAAAACATATTTTTCATTCATACAAAGTTTATACTGTAAGCTAGATCATTAAAAAAAAAATGGCCATTTTCAATACTTGCCCTGTCTTCATCATATGCTCCCTACTGCATTAATTGCAGGGGTCTGGTTCCCCTTCCTTTGAATCTGCACTTACCTTTGTCAGTTGTCTTGACCAACCAAATATGGCAGCTGTGAAGTGGTAGGCATTGAAGGACAGATTTTAAAAAACCATTCAAATTCCTCCTTGGCTACACAGGTGCCTGATGTTTAACAGCTCCAGAACTCCCAGCCACTAGCTAGCATTAATTGCATCCAGATGAGTGAGCAATTTTAGACAGTAGCTCAAAGAAGTCCTTAGGCAACTCCAGCCCACAACCAACAACAATGGAGTGAGAGACCCTAGCAAAAACATCCAGCCAAGCCCATTCAGCTCACCAACAACTAAAGAAACAATAATGAATTGTTTGCATTAAGCTAGGAAATTTTGGATCCTTTATCACACCAAAAATCAATGAACAGGAGGTGGGTTTTGTGGCACCCGTGTCACCTGTCAGAATACCTAAGATCTATTGACTTACAATTCTAGTTTCCTACTGATGTACACATGGGAATCAGCATATGATGGGTCTTAATACTTGGGTACCTGCCATCGACATGGAAGACTCAAATGGAGTTCCTGGCTCCTGACTTCAGCATGGCCCAGCCTTGGCTTCTGTAGACATTTGATACTAAACCAGGAAATGAGAGATTGTACTCTCTGTCTCTATCTCTCAGTCTCTCTATGTTTGTGTGATTCTGACTTTCAAATAAATAAACAAAAAAAAATCAGCAAGCACAACACGTGCTGAAGTCACTTATATACTTCCTATGCAGACACCTAACTTTCATAATCACATATCAAAAACTTTATTCATAAAAAAGATAACAAAATGTTAGATACCCCTGAAGAGTCTTGGGCAATAATTGCAGATTATCAGGCTACTTAACAAAAACCCTTCAGTATCATGTCTCAGCCCATCTCTCTCTGGATAGCTTAATTTTCCTTCCAACACACCCAACAGAAAATATGATCATATTTGCCTCCCTCCAGCCTAGACACCTCTGGACATTTTAGGAGAGATGACTTGCTTTTACTGAGTCAGTGGGAACCGAATTTTCTGTTCATTTCAACCCCCAAACTCCTAATTCAGAGTACCAACATTAAGCCCCAGCCACACTGAGTCACTTTTAGTTCTCTAAAATGTACTTCCACTTCAAATTGGACCTCAAATGTATGGGGTGTAGTCACTGTAAAAAGCATGATCTCTTTTTTGCAACAGGTTTGCTGCCAGAACACAGGTGTCATGAAAACCACCACTAAATCAAAGCCAAAATGGGAAAGGAAAAGACCTGCATCAACATCGTTGTCATTGGACACATTGATTCAGGCAAGTTGACCACTACTGGCCATTTGATCTACAAATTTAGTGATTTCAACAAAAGAACCATTGAGAAATTCAAGAAGGAGGCTGCTGCAATGGGAATGGGCTCTTTCAAGTATGCCTGGGCCTTTGGTAAACTGAAAGCCACGCATGAGTGTGGTATCACCATTGACATCTCCTTGTGGAAATTTGAGACTAACAATTATTATGTGACTGTCATTGATGCCCCAGGACACCGAGACTTCATCAAAAACATGATTACTGACACTTCTCAGGCTAACTGTGTTGTCCTGATTGTTGCTGCTGATGCTGGGGAATTTGAAGCTGGTATCTCCAAGAATGGGCAGACTCGTGAGCATGGCCTTCTGGCTTACACCCTTGGTGTGAAGCAACTAATTAATTGTTGGTGTTAAAATGGATTCCACTGAACCACCTTACAGCCAGAAGAGGTACAAGGAAATCGTTAAGGGAGTCAGCACCTACATTAAAAAAAATTGGGTACCTTGACACAGTAGCATTTGTGCCAATTTCTGTTTGCAATGGTGACAACATGCTGGAGCCAGATGCTAATATGCCGTGGTTCAAGAGATGGAGTCACCTGCCAAGACAGCCCTGCCAGTGGAACCACACTGCTGGAAGCCCTGGATTGCATCCTCCCACCAACTAGACCAACTGACAAGCTTCTGAATCTGCCCTTGCAGGATGTCTACAATATTGGTGGGATTGGTACTGTGCCTGTGAGCCAAGTGGGAGACTGGTGGTTCTGAAACCTTGTATGGTCATGATCTTTGCTTCTGTCAACATCACAACTGAGGTCAAGTCTGTTGAAATGCACCATAAAGCTTTGAGTGAAGCTCTTCCTGGTGACAACATGGGCTTCAGTGTCAAGAACGTGCCAGTCAAAGATGTTCATCATGGCAATGTGGCTGATGACAGCAAAAATGACCCACCAATGGAAGCAGCTGGATTTATTGCTCAGGTGATCATTCTGAACCATCCAGGACAAATCAGTACTGGGTATGTCCCTGTGCTGGATTGCCACACAGCTCACCTCGCCTGCAAGTTGACTGAGCTAAAGGAAAAGATTGATCATCATTCTGGAAAGAAGCTGGAAGATGGCCCTAAATTCCTAAAACCTGGTGATGCTGCCATTGTTGACATGGGCCCTGTCAAGCCCATGTGTGTGGAAAGCTTCTCTGACTATCCTCCTGTGGGTCATTTCACTGTCCATGTTATGAGGCAGATGGTTGCCATTGGTGTCATCAAAGCAGTGGACAAGAAGGCTGCTGGAGCCGGCAAGGTCACGAAGTCTGTCCAGAAAGCTCAGAAGGCTAAATAAATATTATCCCTAACACCTGCCACCCCAGTCTTAATCAGTGGTGAAAGAATGGTCTCAGAACTGTTTGTCTCAATTGGCCATTTACGTTTAGCAGTAAAAGACTGGTTAATGGTAACAATGCATCGTTAAAAGCTTCAGAAGGAAAGGGAAAAGTTTTGTGGACCATTTGGTTCTTTGTGTGGCAGTTTTAAGTTATTAGTTATTAGTTATTTTGAAAACTAATAACTTAGTTTCAAAATCAATACTTTTTCATGGAAATGACCAAAAATCTGTCACAGAATTTTGAGATCCAATTAAAACAAAGTTTAATAAGAAAACAAAAATCATGATCTGAGTTCTTTTATAGTAGCAGAAGAATAATTTTGCCTCCTTCAGCATCTAGAAAACATTTAAAATTTTGAGAACATTCCAGATTTCCAGCTGTTCACAAGTGCCATTTCTGAGGCAGGGACTTATAGACAGCTGTCATCTATAGGGATCTGTCTAGACAAATGGGCCACTCCCATAGACTCTGAGGTCTAGGTTTCTTTCAAAGTCTGCTGAGCAGTCAGGTAGGGTACACAGCTGGGAAGGAGCCGTGGCATGGGTCCCTCAGTTTGGGGCCTACTAGCTCATCTCTGAAGCATCTGGATAGAAAAGTCCCAGAGAAGTCAGGGTTTTGCTGCTAACTTCCTGATTCGGCCGTGTGAATGGGGAAGTGTGTGGTCTTCCATATGAACACAGCACAGCCCCAATCAATGTGACAGTCAGCCGGGGAGGATCCCAAAGACAATGAAAAGAGGGCAAAAACAGACACAGTCTTCAATGAAAGGAGCAAGCCTCTTCTTGACTCTGTCATCATAGTGCTCGCTTCGGCAGCACATATACTTTGTCATCATAATTCTTTCATCTTCTCACCGCATTTGAACAGCTAGAGAAATCTCCAAAGAATGTGCTGTAATGTTTAAAAATTTCCAAGGGAGACCTTCCAGAAGTAGTGCTGTGAATGAAACATGTAGTTTGTAGTCTCTCAATCACATTAAGTCCATATTTTCTTGGGTCCCTCTCATTTTTTTCTCTCTCCTTCTTAAAGAGAACACTTGCACCATGCTGGGAGCTGACAAATAATGAGGTATTCTAGAGAAACTTTACAGAGTTCAGCAGCAATGATGGATTCATTGAGTTTAAAGAGAAGAAACACTTGGAAACTTGGCAAGATGGGCATAAGATTGAATGCAAGGCTATCTCAATACCACTTTTGTTTATTGCACCTCCTAGAAGAGCACAGTTTTAGCTCCTTTTCATTTCAGATCCAAGTTGAAGCTCTCATACCAAGGTCAGTTTTCTAAGTCTCCACGGGTGTATGAAAGAAAATCATATCTGTCTTTTGTTGTGGTCGCTGCTATTTTGATCTCAGAGTGGGGAAAAAATGAAGGAGGAAATAGCATAATTATCACCTGTGTACACCAAAGAATGAAGATTATAGACCAGTGGTAGAGAATATATAGAGAAAGTTGGCAAGATGACTCATAAGTACAGTCACTGAAATAGCTCAGATTGGGTATATGGTATGGCAGATCTGCCAACAACCAACTAATGTAATAGAATAATGAATCACTGGGAACCAGAGTTATTTAAGAGTTTCTGTAAAGCACACCTACATACAAAGTACTGACAAATACCACTGACTTTGAGCGAACACAGCTGTGGGCAGATAGGAAGAAAAGCAAGGAAGTCCCCTAATAGTAAACTCCTGCAGCCATAGGCCCCCTCACTTGGTCCTCTACCTGTCAGAGAGCCACCGGAGGCCAGGCTCTCTGGCTGAGGCCAACAGAGGATGACTCCCTGCTTCTCCTTTCTTCTATTGTGCAAGCCTCAGGCCCTTCCGTCTGAAAGCCAACCCCACCCATTTGTTTTTCTCTGGTTCAGCTGCTCTCCTCCAAGGCCACAGGAAAGTTTTTGTGTCATAGATGGCTTCAGGGAAGCAGACAGGGAAAGAACAGTCAATATGGCCTTGAGATTCAAGAAATCTCACCAGCTGCTGGCCTTCTGAGACCTGGCCACCATTCCTGACTCCTTGGAAGTCCCCGGACTCTGTGCTGTTTTGTTTCATGACCTGGAAGCCCACCTGTCTGTGGGGCTGGAGGGGATCAGCAATCCCACTCCTTGCCTACTCACTTTATGGTTCATGGGGCTTCCCTGTCACCTCTTCAGGCCTGCACTTCCCATGGGGAGAGAATGACAGAGTCAAGTAGCATTCTCCTAACACCATTTTTTTTTTCTGAAATCTACAGTTTTCTTCTCTCAGGGCCCACAGCCTGGATGGCCACTTTTCCTAAATATTCCCTCCTCTGTGATGCTTTCTAGCAGTTCCTTACACGCCCACAGCAGTTCACAGAACACATGGCAGGGCCACCACGTTCCCAGCCCTGACTGACTCTGCTATTTGCTTGTAGCATCAAGCCTGCTGTTAAGCTCATTTCTTCTCCCACAGGTTGTGGTGAGTTTGGCAGAGTTGGCCTAGTTAGCACAGACCCTTGTACACACTAAGCATTGGGCCTTAGGAGTCTTGCCAGTGTCTGGCTGCTAGCATTAAGCATCTCCAGAGACAGTGCCTGGAATGGCAGGGCTTCTCCTAGACTTGGCTCCCTCCATGCAGATGGTGCCCATTTGGATTGGTCAACAATGATGCCATCCAAAAAAAAACAATGATGCCATCCCTACTGCTGTCCACCATTCTTCATTTAATGCTGTTTGTGCGTGTGTGTGCTAATAGCAAAATCATAACAGACTAATAGGCTATGGAGGCACAGCCAGGAAGAGAGAGGACTGACAGGCAAAGGCATGGAGGGATGGCAAGGAATAGGATGGCAAAGTGCCTTTTGTCATCAGCATGGCAGGCTAATGGGATCTTAAATGGTTTGGTATAATACAGAAGTGTAGGGGAAATGATTGGTCTTAGGGGCTGGTGGCTGCCACACATTGAGAAGCTTAAAGACAACAGAAATATTGTTCTCTGAAGATTCTCTGAAAGCATCTTTTCTTGCTTTTTTCACTTCCATTGACTCAAGGAGTTCTTTGGCTTGTAGCAGCATCACTCTAGTCTCATAAATATACTTTCTGTGTGTCTCCAGACCTCAAATCTCCATCTGCCTTTCCCATAACAGGACACCTGTCATTAGAGACCCAGCCCAAACCCAGGGTGAGCTAATCTTGAAATCCTAAACACCATGACATCTACAACATTTTCCCAAATTGGGTCACATTCATAGACAGGTTCTAGTTTAGATTTGGATTAATCTTTCTGAAGGTCCCTATGAAACCCACTGCAATTCTACACAAAACTGTAAGTCTTTGGGCCCAGAGAGTACTCAATATTGTAGTTAGCACATGCCTGTATTGTACCTGATAATTTTCAGAAGACCATTTTATGACACTGAAGAATACAACATAGGGTTCATAGCATTGCCCAGCAGTGTCCCTTAGCGCCATTCAGCTTCCCAGGCTCCAGTACAGAATCTATTTCCTTGTCTTCTCCAGCTTCTAGAAGCCACCAGCATTCCCTGGTTCCTGGCCTCCTAGTATTCCACTCTCTCCTATCATCACATCACCATCCTCTGTCTCCCATTGCTTCCAACCATCTTACAATGACCCATGTGTTTATACTGGGTCACCCAGATAAGCCAGGGAAAATCTCCCGGCTTTTGATCTTTAACTTAAAAGTCTTTTAATCTATAACAACATTTGCAAAGACACAGCCATCCCCTTTTAAAAAAGTATTTATTTTTATTGAAAAGGCAGTTTTCCAGAGAGAAGGGGGTATGGAAAGAAAGATCTTCCACCTGATGTTTCACTCCCCAAATGGCTGTAAAGACTAGAGCTAAGCCAATCTGAAGCCAGGAGCCTCCTCTGGCTCTCCAACTCAGGTGCAGGGTCCCAAGGCTTTGGGCCATCCTCTACTACTTTCCCAGGCCACAGGCAGAGATGGGAAGTAGAGCAGCTGGGAAACAAACAGCACCAACTTGGGACCCTGGTGCTTACAAGGGGAGTACTAGCCAATTGAGTCATTGTGCTGGGCCTATGAAGCCCCTTTTTATCATGGAATATAACATTGCCAGGTTTATGATAATGGTAAGTGGATGTCCTTGAAGGTTTATTATTCTTTCCAGCACAGTTAGAAACTTGGGTCTTATTCTTTTTTTTTTTTTTAAAGACTTATTCATTTTTATTGGAAAGGTAGATTTGCAGAGAGAAGGACAGAGAAAGCTCCTCCATCCATGGGTTCACTCCCCAAGTGTCCACAATGGCTACAGCTAAGCTGATCCAAAGCCAGGAGCCAGGAGTTTCTTCCAAGTTTCCTACATGGATACAGAGTCCCAAGATTTTGGGCCATCCTCCGTGGCTTTTCCAGGACAAAAGCAGGGAGCTGGATGGGAAGTGGAGCAGCCAAGACATGAATCAAACCCATATGGGGCCCCAGGGCATGCAAAGCAAGGATTTTAGCCACTGAGCCATCATGTTGGGTCTGTTAGGTTTCATTCTAAGGGTAGTTATACTCATGGAGAGTTTTAAACAAGGAAATAAAATGAGCAGAATCCAGATCATTAATGTAGGTCAACAGCAAGCACAAAAGGCTCAGCCATGGCTGGAAGATTTGAATGGTGACATGGGAACACCCTAAACAGTATTTTTGAACCTATGGACATCTGCAGGATAACAAGTAAATAATAAGCATTTTCTTCTTTAAAATCTGGGCTTGGTCTTTCTTAATTCTTTAAAATTTTTATGAATACCTGAGTTATGGGACCTCTTAACTTAGATGGACAGGTGGACAGGTGGACAGGGTGAATCCTGAAGGACCTCTGTGGCCAAGATTCTGATGCCTATAGCGAGTTGGCAGGTGTATGTATGTCAGTGAAACGCTGCTTCCTCAAGCGTGTTTGCCCAACACCTTACTAAAGCACAACTTAGAAGAGAAAGCAACAGAAACCAACTCAAGAATAAGGAAATAGCTAAGTGATG